GTAGAAACCAACAGCAAGAGGATAAAGGAGAACAAACCAAACACCTGAAAGCTGAACAACAGCCTACTTGAACATGAGTGAGTAATAGAAAGAATAAAAAAGGAGATAAAACAATTCCTTGAAGCAAATAAGAATGAAAATACAAATTATAAAAACCTCTGGAAAACAGCTGAAGCAGTACTTACAGGTTCGTTCATAGCAATAAGCAAACATATCTAAAGGAAAGAAAGAATGATAATTGATTATTTAACCCAATATCTCTGACAAATAGAAAAAGAACAGCAAGAAAACAAAAAAACCCTCTAAAATAAATTATAAAAATAAAGGCATAAATAAATAGAATAAAAAACAGAAGAAAATTTGAAACTATCAACAAGACTAGGAGTTGGTTCATTGAAAAGGTCAATAAAATCAACAAGTCTCTGAGAGTTAATGAAGAAGAAGAAAAGATACAAATAATTAAAATAAGAAATGAAAGGGGCAACGTCACAACAGAACCAACTCAAATAAAAAGATTAATAATGAAATTTTATGAAAAACTATACTCAAACAAATATGAAAACCTAGAGAATATAGACAAACACTTAGAAACTTACAAACCATCCAAATTGACACAGACTCAAGCAGAATATCTGAACAGACCCATTACATTACAAAAGAAGAAATTGAACAGGTCATAAAATAATTTCTCTGTATGTGTGTGTGTGTGTATATATATACACATAATATATATATACATACATACATACATACATACATACACACACATACATCATAACCAACTGGGATTCCAGATAGTTCAACATAAAAAAACCCCAATATAATTCAAAAAGTCCTGGACTGTGTGTATATATATATATACACACAAACATCATATATATATATACATTATATATATACACATTATATATATACACACATTATATATATATACACATTATATATATATACACACATTATATATATATACACATTATATATATATATATATATATTCATCATAACCAACTGGGATTCCAGATAGTTCAACATAAAAAACCCCCAATATAATTCAAAAAACTCCTGGACTGTAGAGATATATATATATATATATATATATATATTCATCATAACCAACTGGGATTCCAGATAGTTCAACATAAAAAACCCCCAATATAATTCAAAAAACTCCTGGACTGTAGAGATATATATATATATATATATATATATATATTCATCATAACCAACTGGGATTCCAGATAGTTCAACATAAAAATTCCCCAATATAATTCACTAACAAAACAAAGAACAAGAATCCCATGATCCTAACAATTGATGCAAAAAAGGCCTTTGACAAAAGCCAACACCCTTCTTGATTAAAACACTCAACAAATAGGACTAGAGGAAAATTTTCTCAACATGGTGAAAAGTATATACACCTAACCAAGAGCCAACATTGTTCTCAATGGAGAGAGATTAAAGGCATTCCCCTTGAGGACAGGAATTAGAAAAGGATGTCCACTATCACCACTCCTATTCAGTAATGTATTGGACATCTTAGCAGGAGCAATAAGGCAAGAAAAGGAAATGAGTATTCAAATTGGCAAAAAGAAAGTAAAACTCTCGCTACGCAGATGATATCAGTACTACAGCACAAGCTCAGGGGCAGAAACATTTCCCAAGTACTGCTTCAGACAAAAATCCATCCCTAAAGTTGGTACATGGGATTTGGATTTAAAGGTCACCAGCTGCTCCGAGGAAGAAAGATAGGTAATCTCCTTCCATGTGATTAACTGCCTCTAAAAATCTGCAAGAGAGTCAGCTATGGGTCAGTTCTGCCTCTATGGTACACAACAACAATGACAACATCACTAATATCACATGTAAACAAAATCCTGATGACGATTATCCATAAATGACTGGAACATCAACAGAGAACTACCAGAAATAGAGTTGAGTTTAAAAAAGTCATGGCATTAGAGGCATTATTGCCAATGTCACATGGATCTTGGCAGAAAGCAGAGTACCACAGGAATGTCTACCTGTGTTTCATCGACTATGTAAAGGCATTTGATTGTGTCGATCACAACAAATTGTGGTTAACCTTCAGAATGTGAATCCCAGAGTGAGCACTTGATTGTGCTGATGCAAAACCTATACTTGGACCAGGAAGCAGTCCTCAGAATAGAGATAAGAAAACACTGCATGGCTCAAAATCAGGAAAGAAGTACATCGGGGATGCATCCTGTTTCCATACCTTTTCAAGCTATATCTGGAACAGATCATTCAGGAGGCTAGACTTTATGAGGAGGAATGTGGCATCAGGATTGGAGGAAGACTCATAAACAACCTACATTATGCAAATGACACAACCTTGCTTCCTGAAACATAGAAGAACTTTAAGCACTTGCTGCAGAAGGTCAAGGACTATAGTCTTCAATGTGGATTGAGGCTCAATATCAAGAAGGCAAAGATTCTCACCACTGGGCCAACTGGCAGCAAGCACTATGATACATGGAGATGAGATTGAGGTTGTTAGCAATTTCATCTTGCTCCATTCCACAATCAACACTCTTGGCACCAGCAGTCAGAAAACCAAAAGATGAATTGCACTGGGAAAATCTGCTGTCAGGGACCTCTCCAGAGTACTGAGAAGCAACGATGTCAATCTAGAGACTAAGGTGCATCTCACCTAGGTCATGATCTTTGTAATTACTTGCTATTCATTGGAGAACTGGACAATGACTAAGGATGATAGAACAATTGGTGCCTTTGATTCTCCAGTTGTGGTACTGAAGAAGAGCCTTGAACATTCTATGGACTGCCAAAAGAACAAACAGTTCTGTCTTGGAGATAATGAAATCAAGTTTCTCCTTGGAAGTTAGGATTTTGAAGCTCCATCTCACATACTTCTGTCAGAGGGCCAGGAGGGACCAGTCCTTGGAGAACGACATCATGCTCAGAAGGGTAGAGGGAGAGTGCAGGAGAAGAAGACCTTAAATAAGATGGATTGATACAGTAATTGGAGTAATGGGGTAGGTGTATTGGAGACACTTGATCAGGATAGGGCAGTCTTCAGAGCCATACATAAGGTTGCTATGAGTCGCATGTATCTAGACAGCATATAACAACAACAACAGCAGCATAATAATATACTTAGAAAACCTAGAGATTAATCAAGAAACTCTTGGACATAGTTGATGAATTCTGCAAAGTAGCAGGGTACAAGATCAACATCCAAAATTCAGGTGAATTTTTCTACAGTGACAAAGAGAATATAGAAATGGAGCTACGAAAAACAATACTAATCACAATAGATAATTACAAGATTAAATACTTGAAACAAATATATCTATTGGAAAAAGACATGGAAATAATTTTCACAGAGGATGCTATTCAAATGGCAAACAGACACATGAAGAAATGCTCCAAATCACTGGCAATAAAAGAGATGCAAATCAAAACCACAATGAGGTACCATCACACTCTACTAAGAGTGGCAAAGTTTAACAGGACAGCCAGATGTGGTGAGAAAGGAACTCTTATACATTGTTGGTGTGATTGTAAAATGGTGCAACCATTCTATAAGGTAGTTTGGCACTTCCTCAAAAAGCTGAACATAGAAATTCCATAAGACCCAGCTATTCCACTACTTGGAATATACCCTGTGAATTTGAGAACCTAAGCACAAACAGATTTGTACATCAATGTTCATAGCAGCATTTTTCACCAATTGCAAGACCATGAAAACAGCCAAAATGTCCAACCACAACGAATGGATTGAGAAATTATAGTACATTCACACAATGGAATACTATTCAGCATGCAGGAGCAATAACTTTGTAAATTATTACCTAACTTGGGAGGGACTGGAGAGCATTATGCCGAGTGAACTAACTCAGTCCTATAAGGGTAAATATTGTATAAAACTGTTATTGTAGAATGAGTATAAGGATCTAGGAGGGATGGGAGAGGCTGGAAGCAGAGGAATGTGGATGTGCATGGGGAAGGAGGGATTAATTATTGGGTTGTACAATTTGATGGGTGTGGGAAATTGAAAGAATTTGTTCAAATTTGTATTTAAATTTTTCAAATAAACAAGTAGAAAAATAAAAAAAAAAAAATAAACAAGTAGAAAAATAAAAAAAAGAAGAAGAAAAAAAAACCCTCAACTAGGTGTATTGAGATGATGACTGCCACAAAAAGCACTTGTGTGTTAGGAAGTGTCAGGATGGCACAGGATAGGACAGGATTCAGATCTTTTGTTCATAGGGTTGCTATGAGTCATAATCAACTCGATGGCACCTAACAACAACAGCAACAATAACAATATATTCAAGGACGGAACTAGTTAAGATTGAAATGTACCTCAAAGGATGTAAAAAATTAAATCTTTCTTACTGTTTGACATTTATCTAATTCCTTCTCCAATCCATCCAAAAATCTACCAGTAGATTAATTTTTGTAGACATAATTTTAATCATATTATCCATCTAGATACTTTTAACATCTAATTATTTAAACATCTAATCATATTACCCAGATACTTTAAATAACTGATGCAAAAATCTGATGCTTTTTTCATGAAAAGATGTCCTTTAAGGAATCTTATTACTTGGCTATGTTGTGCCTTCAGGGATAGCTTCTATTGCTCCCCTTTGTGATTCCTAAAGCTTAGACAATTTATTATAGTACTCTAGTGACACATTTGCTGGTGGATATGAAGTAGGGAAGAGGTACACTTTCTAATTGTCTTGTCAGTTCATCTCACTGTCTTCCTCATCTTTGCTTATACAAACCTAACCAATATCTCAAGGTCCAGTGTTAAAGTTATGCTTTACATTCACTATAGATATGAAAATATTCTCTACTCCTGCACTTTGTACTTACTTGAGTAGGTCTGAGAGAGCTCCCCTCCCTTGCTATCTCTGTGGTATTAGAAATTGTATTGCCCTGCATACCACAAACTCTAAGGACAAATGATTGGTGGAGGAATGAAATAATGTAAGAAATCTCAAGACCTGCAGGTAGAGAGTGTCCATCTGGAAAAGTGATAGGATTGCTGAGCAATCTCCCTATGATGACTGCTGGTGGATAAAGGCGGAGGCACTCCTTGATGCACATGGTGACGTAGGTCATGTGGTTCAGGTGTTCCCTGAAAGAAATCACAGAAAGGAAGAGGAAGGAAGGATAGTTAGTGAAGCCATTGTGGTAACAGCACTTCTCTCATTTTCTAGCTAGTAAAGGATTGTTTTTTTTCCTTTACCCAAAGAAAAAATTTCTTATATATCAAAACCCCCTTTAAGGAAAAGCTACTGTTACCTGTCTTAAATATATAGTAGAGTTGTGTGTGTTGTTTATATCTTTCTCTGGACAAAGAATACATACTTACTTCTTGAAATGTAAAAATACTTCAGACAACAGCAATAACAGCAAAACTAAAGAAAAACTATAAACTCAACCTATCTCAAAACCAAAAAACCCACTTCACCAAATAAAGCTAACTAACTAAATAACTAGTCTTGTGGGGCTTCCGAGATCATGCTCTTTACAGAAGTAAACTGCCTCATCTTTCTCCTGTAGAGCAGCTGGCAGGCTCGAACAGTCAATTTTTGTAGTTAGTAGTTAAACTTTCAAGTAATGCGCCATCAGGGATCCTTACTTCTTAGAATCACAGTTACTCATTTCATGAAGAGAACGGAAAATCTTGGGAAATGTTTGTTAATATCCTTTAAAGCATCAATGAGATAATTTGCTTGTGAGCATATCATGGAGAAGACTGGAGTTTCCAGAAGTGAGCAGACACTTCATAATGCCTCTTCCTAGGGTTAAATTTGACCTCTAGGAAGGCAGTTGAGCATTAAGGAGACCGCAAGCAAAATAACACACATTACAATCTGGTGTTCACTAGATGTAGGCATAATGAAAAATTATCCTTACTCCTAGGTCAGACTACAAAAGAATGCATCATGAAAAGAGGCATATGAAAAGCAAAATAAATGCAAAGAAGTAGAACTAAAAAACAAGTAAATAATAGCAGATGAGAGAAAGACAAATAAGCATAAAATCAATAAGATCAGGAATGCTAGACTTTAGTTTCTTTAAATGACTACTGCACAGGTAAATCACTGGTGAGAACGCTTTAAAAAATACAAATGTCTGTTGTTGTTGTTGTTATGTGCCGTCGAGTCATTTCCGACTCATAGCGACCCTATGCACAACAGCCCTAAACCCTGCTCTATCCTGCGCCAACC